AAATCAAACATCGCTAAAAGCTACAAAAATAGAAATAACATGACAGTAATTAAACAGACAGGTAAGCAGCCACAGGAGAAACAAACATAAACCATGCAGGATACACATAAAGCAGCATTTGGTTAAAGCATTTTAACATTTAAAATCAAACATATGACATTGAATTTCAAACAAATATCAGGATCTTTCATTTTGTGTGGATTTTGGTGCCCACTGTGGACAAAGTATGTAGTCTAACTCATTACTGTAGTTCCATTAAGAGCTCTGGTAATCCACAAAGGTCTGTATCTGGATCAGATTGGTCCTCCCATACAGGTTTTTGGGGAAAAAAAAAAAGGGTCCAAAGTAAGAAGGATTACCTAATCCTGGAGAGTGAAAAAGTGGATTTCCAAATCTGGTTAATTCAACCAGCTCCTTATTACAGAAATAATCCACATTTATAAACACAATGCACGAGCGTCTTTCATCTTAGGACAAAACCAGGCTGTAACAAATCCATAGGAGGCAGCAGGAAAATTCAACATGCTCACTGTGGGCCTGAGGTAGATACAAGTATATTTGGAGGATCTGTGAAGGTCTTTTAAACCCATTCTGTTTTTCCTGGCAGAGTGTCTGTGTCATCATCCTCCTCTGTCTTGCTGGTGTACAGGTCAGCCAACCTGGTAAAACGTGGTCCCCAGTGGGACAGGCTCTCAAAGTCCTGCTCCTCGTCTGAATCTGAGGAGTTGATGGAGCTAAGTGAACTCGCCTCCGAGCCGGTGCCCTCATAGTCAAATACCAGAAGAGAGTCATACGGAGGAGCTGCAGTGTCTCCGTCTGCAGCGTGGAGGTTCTACAGGAAACACCAAAGGAGAGTTAAAAACACTCACTCACAAACATTGAATAAATATTACACCTAAACACAGCATTCAAAATTCCTATATATAAAACTAAGCATCGCTCACGTCCTCGATGAATTGGCCAATCTCTTCATTGGCTCGGGGTTGTAGGCGGTAGCATGGTCGGCTTTGGACAGTGGGGGAAACATCAGTACTGAAGACTTCAGGACGGTTATCAAGCCCTCTGTGGAGTAAGCTGAGGTCATACTCCTGACAACATATAGGGAGAAAACAGACCTTCAGTATATTCAACAAAATAACAGATACACTCCCTGAGTTACTACAATTCTACAATTCACTTAGCAGACGCTTTTATCCAAAGCGACGTACATCAGAGAGTAAGAACAACACAAGCAAGGATCTAGAAAAAAGGAGCAATGTGAGTAAGAGCAAACGATCAGCTTTGAGTCTGATTGGACACACAGGTGCTGACAGGAAGTGACCAGAGGCAAAGCACAACATTGAGGGCAGTTCTTGAGAGCTCTAATCAGTATAGAAACCATCTTATAAGTCATCGTTATCAAACAAAAACCATCGTCACAACCATCATCATCATCAATAATATGGAGACCATCATCATTAAGTTAGTAGGTATTCATGAAAGAGCTGGGTCTTTAGCTTTTTCTTAAAGGTGCAGAGGGACTCTGCAGATCATATGGCGTTTGGAAGGTCATTCCACCACCGGGGGGCGACAGAGGAGAAGAGTCTAGTTAGAGACTTAGGACCCTGTTAGACCGATAAAATATCAGAAGTTAGACCTATAAAATACCAGAAGTAATATCATGACATAAAAATAATGTAAACATGTGAAGAGTTTAAATACATATCAATGAGAGCCTCAACATTTGGTGTGATGTGCTTAAAAGCATTTGAAAGCAGAAATGCCATGCAAGCAATTGTATTCAAGGCACATTGTTGACCTTTTTTTTCTCTCAGGTTACATTAGGTTAACTGGTTCAAAGAAGTTTTTTTGCAGGTTTATTTGAAGAAAGCAAACAAAAGAACAAAGACAACCGTGTCTCCTGCTGCCTCTCTTGCGCTGGTAAAAAAAAAAAAACATTGGCAGACCCAGGTGCATGCTGGTTCTCTACCTGCCTCTTACCTAAATAACCTCTGGTGCCCACAGTGTTACCCAAATACCTAACAAAAAATATTAATGCAGAACATATAATGAAGAAAATATTACCCAAAATCTATTCTAAATAAAGAAAACGTGTAGAATAATTAAATACACCACCCAAATATTAGTAAACTAAATACCAAGACTAATTCTAACAACAATTAAATAGCTCCAACAAACTATTTCTATGATCAAATTTGAGAGAAGACATCTGACATGTGGATATTGTTCAGCAGCAGTCTTTTGTCACCTACCTGGTCATCTTCCCCTCCTCCCTCCTCGTTATAGAAGAAGATGTTGTCTCTGGGTAAATCCTCAAGAAGTGCCACACCCTTTTCAGACCTCCTCCTCCTTCTCAGCAACAACAGCAGCAGCAAGAGCAGCACTGTAGTCAATGAAATAATAAATCAGAGTAATTAAAGACAGAACCAAGCCAAAAATCTAGGGCATCAAGTGACGCTATACTTACACAAAAAAACAAAAATCGCTCCGAGAACTGTAGTTGCAAGAGAGGGAATACGCAAATGAGGTGCAGAGCGGGGGATGAAGCAGGTAGAGACTGCACCTTGACACTGACATATTTCTACCACTAGTGTGCTGTCTTGGTAGAGCATGCCAGCATCATAGATACGCATCAGCACGATGTAGTCCCCAGGTGACAGCTCTCTTTTGGGGGTCAGTGCAGCCATGTTGCCTGCAAGCACAGAAAAATGCAGAATCAGCACTTCAGCAGGGCTTGATCTTTTGGTTAAATACATGTGTAATGAATGGGGAGCTGGGTTATCTCTTGCACATCTAACTGCAGTTTAGATGCACAGACAGATGGGCGGGCCGCCCCCCTAATATAATGGTAGGGAAAACACTGAGATCTCAAGAAAACAACAGACATTTTTTTTAGTTATGACGTTATAGGAGCCAAAATCCTTGTTTTATTTGACTCTTGCAAGAACACTATGAATTTGTATTTGAGTATAATTCCGACACTGAACACTAGGTGGAGTCTTGACTTATGCTGTGAATAAAGCCAAGGCTCCAGGTAATTAGATTCAGGTGTGTGTTTGGAAGCATATAGTTTTTTGACCGTGTCGGGTTGACTTAGATGTAACAGTTTATGCTTCATGATGTGTTGGACAGAATGGGACATTTATGTTGCAATTAGTGAACCCCGATCATGAACTATAATAAACAGATTGAAGACTCTATTGGAAAAGAGTACCAGACATTTTGTTTGTTGCAACACCAGGTGCACACGTCCGGAAAAAGTTCCAAAATAAGATCAAATAAAATATATGAATACATGTAAGCAGTGGACTATAGGTTTAAAGGCTTTATATGCGATTTTTTGATCCAGCAGATGTCGCCCTTGAACACCAGCATGAAACCAAAACAACTCGCGCTGCATTGTTGTGTTAGCATGCTAATGCTAGCGGTCTTTATTATGCTCGTATCTTCACACTGCATGTAAATTTACCCGAAATGACAATGATCTAGAAACGCAGTTAAGCAGTGAGTACAGTATGTTATTCTTCTTTTATCTAGTCCCTCAATTAAACAACTTTTATTCGCGAGGGGATGAGTCAGCTGGCCATCCCGGCGATGTAAACAAACTGAAGATAGGACTCTGAAAACTCTGAAAACATCACAGACAGTGGGACTCGGGTGTTACACCCATTGTAGACAGTCATGACTCACAGAGTTATTTTCAGGATCAAGGATATACTTGATTTCTACATTTAAGTGTGAAAAATCGCATATCTATCGCCTTTAAGCTGCAAAAGGGCCTGATTCTTTTTCCATCAGGTTGCAAATTAAATAGGTCGGCTGTTCATGTTGTCTCCGGGGTTTTGTTCGAGCTCTCTCACTTGTGGAATTGGTGCTAACAGTCCAGTTGGTCCTGTGCTCTCCCTGAAGTTCGACAGTAAATGGTCCAGCGTGACCTGTACCGTCAAGGTCCACGATGTCGAGCAGGGCGGGTAAAGGGTCACTGTTGCAAAGACTGACCTTCCTCTGCCGGATCACAGGACGATGATCATTCACGTCGAATAGACTCACAACCAGAGTGCCTGTGCCTGTAGCTGGGACTGAGTCTACAAGGGGTGATGAAAGACAAATGAAGACACAGCAGCGTTATCACTCAGTCAGGTGTAAAGACTGACATAGAAGAAAGAAGAGACTAAAAGTACAGATTTACCATCGTCATAAGACAAAACTAAAATGGTGTATTTGCTGTCTTTGACACGGTTTGACTCTCTGTCCATTCTGCTTCTAACTGTGACTGATCCTGTGTCTTTATCCACACTCAGCCACCCTGCTGTGTCATTGTGTAGTTTATATCTGAAAGCAAGGACATTTTTAAGTTAAGTATTATAATGTATATAAAGCCTATATGTTAAATTCACAATATGGACTTGTGTGAAAATTGTATGTATGTGTCACTATTACCTAACTCTCTGTTTCCTGGCTGTGTCCGGGTCCTTGGCTCTGAGGTCAACCACCAAACTCTCTACATCCGCATCCTCTGAGATGCTCACTTGGATTTCTGCCGGACTGAAAACGGGAGGCTCATTCTTGTCCACGACTGTTATGGTGACCGTGGCTGTTGAAGTTAACTCCGAGCCAGAAAACGGCGCTTCATTTGTCACCGCCACCAGAAGGAAAAAGACAGGAATCCTCTCGAAATCCAGCTCCTTGTAAATGATGGAGAGAGTCAGGAAAGAGGAGTCAGAGCAACACAACAAATACTCATTATTATACTTACATTATTATATTGTTTTTTTTACTTACCTTGGCCGTTTTAAGTATTCCTTCCATTTTATTGGAGCCCGTGCTGATTTTGAAGTCCCCCCCCTCATTGCCCTTGATTATCGAGTATCGGGTGTTGGCATTTGGAGATCCTAACTCATCCTTGTCAGTGACCTTTATCCTTACTACCTCGACTCCGACCTCACTCTCAGGGACTGATGTGGATATCTGGGGAAAAAAGTAAGAAAACAATGCTGAACTCAGTCAAAAAAAAATTAAACATTCTTTTAACATTACCATGAAGTATTTTTGGGCAGTTCTATTTCATCCCTGCTGACCGCCAGAGACGGTGCTTAAAGCACTGAATATTCCCAGTTCGAGTATGTATACCAACAATGTCACTTGTGACCCCTGGATGACCCGAGAGAGGTTATATCTTCCGGTGTCATCCGGGGTTCTGTTCCTTTTTTCTTCTCGCATGCAGTTTGCATCTACTCCTAGAGCATTAGCCGAAGCTAATTGTATGGAACTTACTAAAAGGAAAAAAAAAACTTAATAACAGTCGCTGGTAGCCTTGGGACTGTGTCGGTCGGTGCAGCAAAGTTTTCGCCCTCCAAGGGCTGCGACGGCCATCCAACCCTCTTTGGGAACGGTTTGTTTGTTTGTACCTGACACTGGTAGGGTAGCCTCTCACTCCCCTCTACGGACATAAGGTACGTGTTTCGTTTTCTTAAAATTTCCTGGCAAATTAGTGGCTGTGTTTCGCCGAAGCTAATTAGCCAAAGTTTAAGTTTGTACCCTCCACTGGCTGCATCCCGCACAGAGGCCAGCCAGGGACTTTTGTGCCAGGGACTTTCGTGGCACTGCCCACTCGTCCTACAGGTCACCTCGAGCCCCGGATCCTATCCGCCGCCCCTCCAGGGCCTCTAGAGGCCGGGGGAACTGAGGTTACGGGGCCGGCTGTCGGGTACTTTTCCCACCAGCAGCTTGGATATCGAGCTGCACACGCTTCAGACCCCTGGGTGGTTACCACCTTAACCCACGGGTACAAGCTACAGTTCCGACAGCAGCCCCCTTCTTCCGGCCGGATCAAACACACAATCATCAGCGACCCGGCAAAAGCCCGAGTACTGGACCAGGAGTTATCCGCCCTCCCAGCCGAGGACGCAATCGAGGCCGTAGATCCTCTGTCGCACCACAGAGGCTTCTATTCAACATACTTCCTTGTCACAAAAAAGACCAGCGGATTCCATCCAGTGTTGGACTTGAGGAGACTCAACAGGTATATGAAAGTATTACCATTCCATATGATAACCACTGCGGAGGTTTTGCGAACTGTCGCCCTGGGGGACTGGTTTACATCCATAGACTTGAAGGACGCCTACTTTCATGTCCCCATTGCACCGCAACACAGGCAGTTCCTGCGTTTTGCATATTAAGGCCGCCACTGGCAGTTCAGGGTGCTTCCATTTGGGCTCTCCCTCTCTCCAAGAGTGTTCACCAGGTGCATGACAGCAGCCCTTGCACCTCTGCAGTCTCAGGGCATGAAGATTCTGCCGTATCTGGACGACTGGCTGATCTGTGCCCCATCCCAGGCTCAGGTGGTCCAGGACACAGCTTGCCTTCTCTCCCATGTTGCCCAGCTGGGCCTCAAGGTAAACCTGGAAAAAAGTTGTCTAAACCCCTCCCAGACCACGAAGAGAGATTGTCACCACAGATGCCTGCCCCTCAGGATGAGGTGCAGTGTGGCAGAACAGGACAGCTCAGGGACAGTGGTCGGGGCGAAACCGCACCGAACACATCAATGTACTAGAGCTGCAAGCGGTGCATCTCGCTCTCCAGCACTTCCTGCCGTATCTGAGGGGAAGGCATCTGCTCATACGGTTGGACAACATCTCGACTGTCTTCCATATCAACCATCAGGGCGGCACCAAGTCTGCACAGCTGCTGCAGGTATCCCAGGACCTCCTGACTTGGGAAGCCCCCCGTCTGGCCAGCCTGCGGGCAATGTATTTCCCGGGGAGTCGGAATCAGCTTGCCTATTTCCTCTCCCGTCACAAGCCTCCACCAGGGGAGTGGCGCCTCCACCCAGAGGTGGTGCACACAATCTGGGGCCTCTTCGGCCGAGCAGAGGTGGATCTCTTTGCCTCAGAGATGTCAACCCACTGCCCACTCTGGTTCTCCCTGACAGAGGCAACCAGCCCTCTGTGCCAGGATGCACTTGCTCATCCTGGGCTAGAGGGTCTTCTGTATACCTTTCCGCCGCTTCCTCTGATTTGGCCAACACTTCAGAGAGTGCTTCAAGAGGGTCACAGGATGTTACTGGTGGCCCCCTTCTGGCCAGTAAGGATATGGTTCTCTCTGCTTCACAGACTCTGACGCGGCACACCGTGGTGCCTCCCCGACAGCACAGACCTACTGTCTCAACTGGGGGGTCGGATCTGGCAGCCCAATCCTCAGCGCATCAAACTGTGGGTTTGGCCGCTGGAGGGCCCGAACCGCTGCTGAGCAGCTGCGTGGACCCTGTCAGGCAGACCATAATGAACACCAGAGCACCATCCACCTGTCTGCAGTAGGACAACAGGTGGAAGCTTTTCTCTGATTGGTGTGTCAGCCGAAGGGAAGACCCAGTCCTTTGCGCTGTGCCTACTGGCCTGGAGTTCCTGCAGTCCCTCCTGGAAGATGGCCAGTCTCCTTCTACCCTGAGAGTGTATGTGGCGGCAATATCATGTCGACATGCTAGAATCGACAATGGCACAGTAGGGAGTCACAATCTAGTGTCCCTCTTTCTTAGGGGGGCTCAGAGGTTGCATCCCCCAAGAGTTCCAAGAACTCCAACATGGGATCTACCTCTGGTGCTGGACGCCCTATGCCAGCCTCCCTTTGAGCCCTTGACAAGGGCAGAGCTGAAGTGGGTGTCATGTAAGACCGCATTCCTACTGGCCATTATTTCAGCTAAGCGCGTCAGTGAGTTACAAGCCCTGTCAATAAGCGTCTCATGCCTGAGGTGGAGTCCGGATGGTTCAGGCATCACTCTATGGCCGAAACACAGCATTTCTTCCGAAAGTGGTCCCTTCCTTGTGGTCCCACGAGAAGATTCTGTAGGAACGACACCGGAAGATATAACCTCTCTTGGGTCATGCAGGGGTCACAAGTGACATTGTTGGTATACATACTCAAACTGCGCATGCGCGAGGGGAATATTCAGTGCTTTAAGCACCGCCTCTGACAGTCATTCGGGATTCATAGAGCCGTAGTTACATTCGTAACTTTCGTTTTAACTCACAGATGTGACGGTGAACTCTGGAGCATTGTCGTTGCTGTCTGTGATGCTTATGATGACAGTGCAGGTGGATACTAACCCGTGTCCCTCCATGTCTGCAGCCTCGACGATCAGCTTGTACTGTGAGTGAGTCTAACAAAGGGCAGTGAGTCACAAGAGAAACAAAAAAAAATGACACAGTTTTGGAAAAAAGGGAAAGCAATGTTGTCATCCTTTGATCCCATTACCTCTCTGTCAAGTCCAAGAGCCTTCACACTGATCGCTCCGCTCACTGGGTTTATTGCAAACATGTCCTTTTCGGGCATTTGAGGCATCTGAGCCTTTATTCTGTATCTGATCATCGCATTGCTTGTCTGTGGGTCATCTTTATCCACTGCTGTTATCTTTGTGATGATGTCATCTAGTGAAAAAAAAACAGGTGATTATTGATTGCATTTTAGAAGTGCAGAGTGAAGTTTGTGAATTTTTCAATTCAGTAAATTCGACTAAATAAAATATGCTTTAAAGGCTTTATATGTGATTTTTCACACTTAAATATAATAGAAATCAAGTATATCCTCTGAAAATAACTCTGTGAGTCATGACTGTCTACAATGGGTGTAACACCCGAGTCCCACTGTCTGTGATGCTTTCCAAGTTTTCTGAGTCCTATCTTCACTTTGTTTACATCGCCCGGACGGCCGGCCGACTCCTCCCCTCGTGTATAAAAGTTGTTTAATTGAGGGACTAGAGAAAAGAAGAATAACATACTGTACTCACTGCTTAACTGTGTTTCTAGATCACGCTCATTGCGGGGTAAATTTACATGCAGTGTGAAGATATGAGCATAGTTAAGATCGCTAGCATTAGCATGCTAACACAACAATGCAGCGCAAGTTGTTTTGGTTTCATGCTGGTGCTCAAAGGGCGACATCTGCTGGATAAAAAAAACCGCATATAAAGCCTTTAATGACATTATTAATTTCAAGAGACAATATGGCCAAAGTGTTATGTGATTATCAGATCAAATCAAATGAAAAAAACAAAACAGAAAATGTGTATTTATTTTCTGCATGTGTGTTTAAAAAGTATTTCAAAATGTTTAAGAATCATTGTGTGTTTATATACCATCGTGTGTCTAAAGTGTCTGTGTGTTATTTCTCTCTCACCGATCTCAGCGCTCTCGTTCACTCGGCCGTAGAAAGGGTTTTGTGTGAATTTTGGAGAGTTGTCATTCTGGTCGATGATGTTGATTATGAGCTCCATGGGCTCCTCAGCTTTAACACCCTCATTCAGTGCATGGGCCCACAGCTGTAACACATACCACACGTGACGTCATAATAATACAAGTTATCTAGAATAAGGACAAAAACAAAGTTCTTGATTTTTTTTTTATCTCACACTGTAATTAGCTGTCTTCTCCCTGTCGAGCGGCTGAGTCACATACAGCACCCCAGATCTCCGATCAACAGTGAAAACCCCCTCAGGAGGCTGATCAGCACCTGGTCCACTGATCTTGTAGGTTATTGCAACTTTTTCATCATTGCTGGACTTGATCTGAAGCACAATGAAGAACATATTTCGGTGGAGGTTGTAGTTTAAAAAAAAAAATAGACATAGTTCAACATGAATCTCTTTGTGTTTAGGCTATTTGTAGTTTTTTAGGTGTTTTGGTCTGCATCGTTTTTCATGCACTGACACTGATGAAGCACTGGTATTGAAAACAGCTGTTTCAATAAATCAGACTTTCAAATGCAAGAATAAGTGTGATACATGTTATTATTTGTTGAAAAATATAATGTGACAATTTACCCCGCATAGTGTGACAACATACCTCGTGATGGGGCAACTTGTCACAAATACACACTCTGTACTTGATCATGTAGAATTTATTATTTAAGTGACAAGTGAAAATCTGAAGATTATACATTTGTGCACAAGAAATTAATATTTAATTTGGTATAGAAATTGAGTGACTGTGATATACTTAGACCGAGAATTTTAGGTGAAAGCCAAAAGTGTGACAAGATACCCCGCTCTCCCCTATACAAGAATAAGTAGCCTATATTGTTGAATACTACCGCCCTTACCTTCACCATGTATTTGGGATATGGACCCCTGTCGTTCTCTGGGAAGTTGATTACTGGAATGACCCACTCCCTCTTTATTCTTGTCAGACTGATAGACCTGTGTCGAAACTCAACAGCAAGGAGCTGCTCTTGGCCCATTTCAGCTGGGTTCTATAAAACATATCAGGTCACATTACAATCTAATTGATAAACCATAAGTGTAAATTGACATCATGAGCATTACATTTACCTCTAGATTTTTGCTTTCATTATTTGAGCAAATGATTCTGTTGCTGCATGGTGCAATTCGTGCTGCAGCCAGAAAGGCCAAACACTGAGGGGGAAAAAAAAGAGGACGGCAAACGTGTCGTATTTGTGAATAACAGTTAAATAAAAGCCATCCTTCCAAATGCTCAGTTATTCTTTTTCTTTTCAGACAAGATTACACAATAAGAGCCGACTTGAAACAAAAGAATTTTGACAACAAATCTTGTAAGAAACAAAAGCTACAAGGTAAGGCAAGGCATGTCCAAAAAATAACAAAAAACCCTTAAACAGAAGGTAAAACATCATCAGACACATAAAACATATTAGTAAAAGTTTAAACAATATGTTATATAAAAATGTATTAAAGCTATTCTAATAAAAGGAAGCTGTAAACAGATTATGATGTGGTAGGAGTGTGTCGTTTTCCTGACAGAGGTTGTATGAACAAGCTTTAAATCATTTACTAATTACTTTTTCAATATCTCACCTGTATTTGGCACAGAATAGAGAACTCCCTTGAAATCCTGCTGCTCCCCATCATGTCCTGTAGTATAGAAAGCCTCAGATCTTAAATCCACAATCTCTGGAAACATCCACAAACTGGATCTTCTGCTTCGTCCCCCAATGGCAGCCTTCCAGGTAAATGACATTTAAAAAAGAGCATCCTGATTCTGTGCTCCACTCTGCCCCTATTGATGCTAACGGAGCAGTTGTTTGATTTTATCTCTGAAGGGTTTGTAAAAATAAACAAAGTGGGTGTCTAGAGGTGACCTCCAGCAATGTCAGGGCATGCAGGTGTGTTTATACAGCGAGGCTCTATACAATCACCTTTTCAAATGATGACATCACTTTTACATGTAATCATAATCCAATTCTTCATTTAATGTCATATTGTCTGTAAAATTTAAAAAAAGGAAAACACTTACAGCATGTATTAAATTCTAGATGTAGGGTTGGTTGGATTCTGTTTGCAGGGAAATCAGACCATTAGAGATGAACTTTCTTGCAGGAAAGCATGCATGTGTTTACAAAACACTCCAGGATCAGATTGGCTCCCACGACACTCAGCAGCTAACGTTCTAGCAACGTTTATTTTGAAAACGTTGTTTCCCACACAGCTTTGGATGTTTTTTTACCAAAATGTAAATGACAGTTATGTTCCTTCGTTTTGTTTTCATTCACTTTTTATTGACAACGGCTCTGACGTCAAAAACGAAACAATAGATAGATTATGTTATCTGTAACATCTGCATCTTTTTCACAGTGAGCGGAGTGTCAGTACAACACATAACAAACACATGGGGGACACAACAATTACACAGACTGTACTTCACAGTTTAAACAAAGGTCAAGTAAACAAGACAGAAATCTCACAGACTGATTGTCTAAAAGCAAACTGTGCAAGGGAAAAAAAAGGCATAAAAGTAGTTGCAGGCAAGGAACGATGTAAGTGTCTGCATTATACATTGGGCTTCTTTTCAACATTTCTTTTAGTAACATGCAACTCAAGATGTCTGTAAAAACAGTCCTTCATTAAAACAGTACAGGACGAAAAGCATTTCTCCAGAAAATATGTGTTTTGACCTGATAGATGCTTTTATTATAAATATAGAACATATTATGAGTTGATAGATTTGTAATCTTTGCATATAAAACACTGGAAATTTCTTTGTTTCAATTTCAGTCGTGTTGGGGTCTGGCCAGGTTAGAGTTCAGATACACCACAGTGGCTGTGATATCGTCCCTGTACATGCGAGCCAGGTCCTCTGGCAGAGCGAGCATAGAGGCTAGTCTCTCGTGGCACAGCTCTCCGTACTCCCCTGTGCCGAGAGCGCGCCTGATGAGGTGCGTGGCTGCATTGGTGTCCGGAGCCGGGGATGCGCGGGCCCTGCGCTTAAGCAGGAGTTCATGCATCTGACCCAATTTCAGCTGCCTCTCTGATGGAGAAACTGGAGCCTGAAAGAATAAAGAACAGAAGGACTTTAAATTGATAAGGATAAGAAGACAGAAATTGGGAAAAGGGCTTTTGGGTACTCTGCACCCTCAGCCTGGAATCTGTTGCAGAATGACTTAAAGCTCAAGGAGCTGGTGTCCTGAAATGTTCTTAAATCTAAAATAAAGACATGGAAGCAGATTGAAGATCTTGATGTTTTAGCTCGGCTGTTTGAACGACTGATTCCCAGATATGACTCATAAGATGGTTCTGTTTCAATCCAAAATGTTGTGTTTTATAAACTGCACTGTGTCTCTCTTTGTATTTTCGTCTGTAACTTTGTGTTTTTGCTGCTGCCTGTCTTGGCCAGGTCTACCTTGAAAAAGAGGTTTTTAATCTCAATGGGAACAACCTGGTTCAATAAAGGTTAAATAAAAGAAAAGAAAAACGAGTGGTTATTACATACGAGCTGTGTGCTGTGGTTCAGGAGAATTATACTTGTCACAGTGACCCCAAACACACACCTGGAGGTGAATCCCACTGAGGTGCTCTCCAACGAGTCGTACAGCCTCCTCGCTCGACAGTTCATCCCACAGGCCGTCAGTGCCGAGGATCAGAAAGCGGTCCTTGGGCCTCAGCTTGTGATAGGTTATGTCGGGTGCCACGTCCAAATAGGGCGGCGTTAAGTAGTTAGGTGGAGTGTACTGGTACAGATTGAGAGAGTCCAGGTCCACTCTGGACTCCAGGCCGGCTAAAACGCTCTGCTGCAACTCGTGGCTCCACTTGAATCGCACGTCACCAAAAGCACGCAGCGGCATCAGAACCTGACAGCAAGAGAGAAAAAAAAAAAGAAGAAGCTTAGAAACCGTCCTAACAAATTCAGCAGTGAAATAATTGTACAGTGCCTGCGCAGTGGAGAACTCTCACCCCAAGAAGTCTGTCATCTGTGATCACTGTGTCCTTCTCTGAGGACGGGTGCAGGGCCTTGATCCGATCCACCTCAGCCTTATTTTGGGAGTTGTGGTCCTGGGAAAGGGGTAAGGCGCTCCACGAACCATCCTCCTCCTGCACCCCCAGTACTACTCTGCAGTCACCGGTGTTTGCAACGTGGATCCCCTCTGTGCCGATATGAGCCACAGAGGCAGTGCAACCAGCAAATGCAACCTGAGCAGATAATGATGCCTTTGTTTCAATATTGTGTGTTGAACTTGAAAAGAGAAACAAAGAAAATGCATAAAGTTTTACCTGAATGGCTGTGCTTTTCATCAGGTCATTGGAAAGAGGGACTTGGGCCTCTAAGGAGATGTCCCCATCGAGTCGTTTGAAGGCATGATCCAGAGCGTCAGGAAGACTATAAAAACAGGAGGTGATGGAAGGGTGTTAAAAGAAAAACCAATCACATGCAGGTTTTTATTGTCTATTTATTTAGATAATTATGTATGTGTACATGTAACTCAAATCTGACCTCATGCCTTCACCATGATCCTCACTGTCCAGTAACTCTTGCCAGAACACTCTGAGGTGGTCGATGTAAAGCGATGCAGATTCCCGATAGTTGAAGTCCGAGTGGTGTTTGTACCACTGCAAAATGGGAGGAACGGGTCTGCCGTGCTCCACACATCTCTCGAGCTCCTCCAGGCTCTGCTTGGGCATCATGGCGACTGCCGCGTAGTAAAGCAGCCGCTCACTGACGGCCTGCGCACACGCCCAGCCCCCGTGGCCGTCAAACACTCCAAAGAGCATGCCCTTTGACTGGAGAAGATAAGATAGGAATTATAATTTGATTTGAAAAAGAAGCGGGCGAAAAGTTGAGAAATACTTGTTGTATAGGTAGAGGGGAAAAATGATACCTGTAAACAGGTGGCTGCACTGCGACGGTCCTCATTCGGGGTGTTAGCAGCCAGCTGGTTGCTCTCAAACTTTCTCACAGTACTGAGTCCCCTGCCATCAAACTCTGGAACACTTACAGCCTGAGACACATACACACAGATCTTCACAATGATGCAATAGTGACATATTTCTCTACAAAATAAACAATCTTGAGTTTAGATTTAAGTATTTCTGATGCTGAAACCTAAGTCCACTCAGAAAAATATTGTGTTTCCACTTCCAACATGTCATCCATTACCTGCTCATTCAACCGCAGTATACTGTTGATCTGGACCTGGTTAAGATGGAAGTCCAGATCCTGCCGAGTTGAGAGGCGTCGCCCACTTAAAGACCCATTTCCCAAAGAGTCCTCTAACCTGGAGCCCAACTGGTCTGCTCTGAACGCACCCCGGGATGAGAAGTATCGATTGTGGGTTGATCGAGGCTGAGAAGAGGGGGATGCTTCCAAGTGGGTATACTGAACAAACATAGGATAGGATAGGATAATACTTTATTGATCCCCAGAGGGGAAATTTGGGCGTTACAGCAGCACAGACAAGAAAGCTCAAAATACACATCAAACAGAACAGATAAGATAAATAAAAATAAAAACAGGGGGTATATAAAACGAATGATGAAGTTAACTGGGGGGAATTGAGAATTGAGACAGTATTCGCAGAGAATGACAAGATAAAGTGACAAGTGATGATTAAAGTGACTTGGAATGATAAATAGCAGCACGTCATGTAAACAGCAGAGAAGAGAGGAATAATGAAATGTTATAATATAGACTAGTATAATAATATAATAAAATATATAGAATGTACAGAATATATATATTGATGCTAAATAATAATAATAATAATAATAATAATAATAATACAATGTTAGTAATGATAATAATAATAATAATAATAATAATAATAATAATAATAATACAATGTTAGTAATGATAATAATAATAATAATAATAATAATAATAATACAATGTTAGTAATGATAATAATAATAATAATAATAATAATAATAATACAATGTTAGTAATGATAATAATAATAATAATAATAATAATAATAATAATAATACAATGTTAGTAATGATAATAATAATAATAATAATAATAATAATAATACAATGTTAGTAATGATAATAATAATAATAATAATAATAATAATAATAATAATAATACAATGTTAGTAATGATAATAATAATAATAATAATAATAATAATAATAATACAATGTTAGTAATGATAATAATAATAATAATAATAATAATAATAATAATAATAATAATAATAATACAATGTTAGTAATGATAATAATGAAGCAGGTCATGTGGGTAGTATATACCAGTCAGCATTAGAGTATGTTGTAATAAACTGTAAATAACACTGCTTATAAATATAAAATATAAAATAAAAAACATAAAAAGCGGCTGCACAGAAGTCGATGACGTCACAGACCTGTGACGGTGGCAGTGGCCGCGCGCAGCTGGAAGCTCTTTGGAGGAGGATGCTGACACACACACGTCCAGACATCTCTGAAGGTCCTGAAAGAAAGACTCTTAAAATGAGTGGAAGTGACAAGCAAAGTCTGAGCAACATGTTTCTTGTGTTTTCAAAAGAGTTTAAAATAAGCAAACTGGCTACAAAGTAAACTTTACATCGTAGTTAGCTTGCTAAGTTATCGTTAGCTTACTAGCTTCATTTAATGTCAACGTGTTTGTCCCAAATCGCCAACGAAAACCTAAAACGTTGATTTGCAAAACTCCTATACAGATATACTGACTGTAATGTACTCTTACGGTGTGTAGAACAAACTATTTTTGAGTCAAATACGCACAGAGTCTGTGGCACATACCCAGAAATGAACCGATAAACAAACCCGGCGTCTGGTCTCAACGTCTCTACGTGTGTCGCCGGCGTAATACGTCACAGTGGTGTTCTGATGATTTTCGCTTCCTTGACGAAAAATGCTTCCCCAGCGGGGTTCCTTGCATTATAGCCTATTTTTGGGATTAAAAAAAAACATGTGTAATTGCACGTAGCGGGGATACCAATTTCACATTATATCATATTAAATTGTTGCATTTATTTAAGGATTGTAGGTATAGCGATTTGTATATATGTCGCTGACGTAATACGTCACAGTGGTGTTCTGACGAAAAATGCTTCCTTGACGAAAAATGCTTCCTGGCCGGTTTTCCTTGCATTATAGCCCATTTTTTTTTTATTAAAAAAAAAAACATGTGTAATTGCACGTAGCGGGGATACCAATGTTATAATATATCATATTAAATTGTTGTTTTTATTTAAGGATCGTAGGTATAGTTTGTTTGTACATAGTGAGTAAGTGAAATCCACTTTCATTCTTCCATGCTTTCATGTCATCCTCCCACAACAGAATCATGCGCATCATGCATTGCGCAGGAAATATCGGCACTACATTGATGCCCCACTGTGCGTTGCTCTCAGTGCACTGTTTGTAAAAAGCCAAATGTTTGGAAACGCGAAAGGACCACTTTTCCCCTCGTGTCATGCGATGTTCACCCAAAAAACTGTTTATCTTAAAATCCTGCGTTTTTCTGTGCTCTAAGATTGTTGATTTAAATGCATTTCTTCATGTCCAAAGTCTCTTTACATTTATTGTTGATTTTTTTTAAATTGCATTGTTATAAACTTCAGAAATTTATTCAAAGATTATTTCCTTTATCAAAAGAAGTCACAAAGGACTTATTTTTCTTTTTAAAAAAAAGAAATAAACCCGATTAACAGGGAATTACTTTTTAGTTTTCATTTCTTCACTTCTTCATGTGTGTTGAATTTGATATATTACAATAAGTATTCAGTTTAGATTACATGTGGACAGCAGACTAAATTAAACTAACTTCATATGGATTTTATGCACATTTCTAATATACAACCTGATGAAGAAATCAACCAGCCATGCCTCGTAAAGTGTTTTACTGTTCATTTGTCAGACATTTTTTGTAGAATAATATTTGTTTAAGACTATATTGTATTGCTGACATCACAAAAATAAGTAACTAATCCTATTCATACACATTCATACATGACGAAGAAGTGGGAGTTGTGTCTTGCCCAAGGACACATCAGACATGTTGTTGAAGGAGCTGGGCTGGGGAACCCAAGACCTTCCGATTGAGAGACGAGGACTCGTATCATACTATATGCTCTGTGGTTTTATAATATATACATATCTTCTTTTATTATTTCACACTTATTTAATAGTATATGATTTAAGCGCCTTATCTATAATATAGGCTAATATGGCACATTACATCAATATGGTCTTGGTATCCAATTATTAAGCCTATTTAAAGTTATCCTACTTTATCCTATCTATAGGCTACTACTCATATTTATGGTTATAAAACATCACAAATAGATGAAGACTGCTGATTATTACGGACAGCACTTGTTACCAGATGTACATAGCCTATATGATCTTCTATTTGTAATTCACCTTGGGGCTCTATCATACTTTGCTGCTCTTGTTCTTTTATTTTTAAGTTTAATTTTAGCTTTGTATTTGTGTCTTGTTTTTCTGTTCCGTCATTGTTATGTTGAATGTCACGAGTTGCTGTTACAATCCAATTTCCCCTTGGTGATGAAGTATCCTGCCTGTCTGTCTATTCATCTATGAAGTGTTGGGCTTTTTGTTTTACTTATTTATTTTTTTAACTGTGTAAAATATTAACATACAACCTTAGTCATTTGTAAACAGAAATTAAGAAAAGACTGCATTTTTTTTTTTGACATATTCAAACTTTTTTTGTATCGCAACTCAGAAAGAGTTACGATACGACGGAGGATTAGGGCCACGTTAATTTTAATTTTTTTTTAAATTTCGATAATAAAGTCGTAAATTTACCAGATTAAAGTCGTAAATTTCTGAGAATAAAAAATTTACAAGGAATAATCTCGTGAGAATAAACTCGTAAATTAACGAGTTTAATCTTGTAAATCTACGACTTTAATCTCGTAAATGTACGACTTTAATCTTGTAAATGTACGACTTTAATCTCGTAAATTTACGACTTTAATCTCGTAAATGTACGACTTTAATCTCGTAAATTTACGACTTTAATCTCATAAATGTACGACTTTATTCTCGTAAATGTACAACTTTATTCTCGTAAATGTACTACTTTAATCTCGTAAATCTAAGACTTTAATCTCATAAATGTACGACTTTATTCTCGTAAATGTACGAATTTAATCTCGTAAATTTACGACTTTAATCTCGTAAATCTACGACTTTAATCTCGTAAATGTACGACTTTATTCTCGTAAATTTACTACTTTAATCTCGTAAATGTACGACTTTAATCTCGTAAATGTACGACTTTATTCTCGTAAATGTACGACTTTATTCTCGTAAATTTACTACTTTAATCTCCTAAATCTAAGACTTTAATCTCATAAATGTACGACTTTATTCTCGTAAATGTACGACTTTATTCTCGTAAATTTACAACTTTAATCTCGTAAATCTACGACTTTAATCTCGTAAATGTACGACTTTATTCTCGTAAATTTACTACTTTAATCTCGTAAATGTACGACTTTAATCTTGTAAATGTACGACTTTAATCTCATAAATGTACGACTTTAATCTCGTAAATTTACGACTTTAATCTCATAAATGTACGACTTTAATCTCGTAAATTTACGACTTTAATCTCATAAATGTACGACTTTATTCTCATAAATTTACTACTTTAATCTCGAATTATTATTATTATTTTTTTTTTTTTTTTAACATGGCCCTAATCCTCCGTCGTACTATGAAGTGGTATGACTCGAGTATAATTTCCATCTGGATTATATTTCAGTGGCAGATGTAATTTGTGTTGGCCTTCTTTGTAGTTAGAAAACAAGCTGTAAAAAGGGCCTTTTACTGAACCTCTCTACGGTTCTGCATTATTATAAAGTAGCTGCTTTTATGGCGTTAAAAGCTGTTTTTTTTGTGCTTTTACTCTCTAGTTAGAGTGTCGCACACTGACCGTTTATTTATTTATTTGAAGAAAAGAAAAAACACATTGTCATTTTTTGCACGTGATCACGGTGTCGTGAATTATTGAACTCTTGGCGCTCCTTACTTGGCGCGTCATCTTGCTAATGCTAATGCTAGCTAGTTATCGTTAGCCTAATCGCAATGGATACAACAGAAGACAACAACAACAACAGCCGAAATAGTTAAGTGATTTTGTTGTTCCCGAAGACACATATCAATATTTACAGTTAATTTTAGAAGAAAGGGAAGTATATCACATCTTTTAATAAACACCTTTCCTTATATGAACTTAATAACGTTTAAAGTAATTTAGTGTTTTGACTTCCAGCTGTGAGGACAGATCTCAGTTTGCTGCTCGAGTGTCTGAAGTTTCAGATGAAATGTCCTGATCTGCAGAAACAAGCTCTTCTTACTATTCACTCAATCTGTGAAAACAAAGGTAATGTTTAACCATTTACAACAGAAATACTTCAACTTCTTGACTCTCACAGTCTCTACATACTCTCTATACTCTACACACACTAACCAGCCCTCAGTTTTTTAATGATGATTTTTATGTGTGGAAAGCCATCATTTAATTTCATCTTTACAATGTATTCATCACTTTACATTATCTTTTTATTTCAGAGGATAATGTTGACATTCTGAGAAAAATGGGAGGCGTGGCTTTCGTGTATAACCTCTCCAAATCCAGGATTGTCCATTCAGATGTGAAGGAGACTGCGCTTTTTACTCTCTGCACCCTGGCAGAGGCCAATGGTAAGCATGTGTAAGAATTAAAGGGATACTTCACCCCGTTGAAACATGAATCTGTATTGACATTGGGTCATATATGTAGAAATGTGAAATACATTTTGAAGTTGGTGCCTTCAAAAGGCAGAAAGTGTCTTTTTGGGTCATGTTGGATGAAAGACACCAAATCCCAGAATGCACAGCACTGCAGGCCACTCCCATTAAGGTCCTCTATTTCAGAATCAGAAATACAGCAGCCAAAACACAAGACCGGCCTGTCGGCAGCAGCCGTCTCGCCGCTATATTTAAATTTGTTCTCCATTATCATCTTTCTCCATAGAGCCTGTTAGCATAGCTTCCAAGCAATATGGCGGACGTTAAGTTTGGATTCTGGGAGTGAGTTCCCACCCACTGATCTGTGATTGGTCTGTAGCTTCAGTGGTCGAAAATATGAGGAACTAGAGTTGTAGTTTCACCCCGCTAACCGCAACAGCTTCCACTGACGCAAAATGACGATTCTTGCGTCACTGGAAGCTCCTTTTCAGACTCAGAAATACAAAGATTTCTCGTCTCAGGGGAAAATGAGGGCGGGATGCATGACCATTCAAAAATACTACCAGGTTTCTAATGATACAAAGATTAATGCTAATGGTTGAAGTATCCCTTTAAAAGTTTCTGAAGGGGATTTTTTGCACATCATTTATACACTGTGTCTTTCCTCCTGGTAGTGTATTGCAAGAATTCCCTGAGCAGAAAGGAGACATTTACAGACCTGGGTGGTTTGTTGATGAGCGAAGATGTCCCGCTGACACAGAAGAGAGTGTCCGTCTATTTGCTTTCTGTGTTGGTAGCCAACAACAGTAAGATCAAGACTCCACAACTGAAATGAGTTAGATTTACAAGAACTGCTGAGAGCTCTGTGCCTAACATTGCATTCACCTTGGTTTAGTTTAATCATTACATACCGGTACATAAAACATAATAATGGGTCCTTTTTTTTTCCACTTGCAGAATCAGGACAGACCTTAGCTCAGACCACTGGCTGTTTGGATATTCTTCTGGAGCTTTTCAGGTATTTTATGAAGCTAAACATTGTAATGTCAGTCAAACATCTGTTGCAAGTTTACATAAGCATGCTGAAATTGTACAGAGCATATTTTTTATGTTTAATAGGATGTATATCTTTGCAGGATCAATTTCCCCTCCTCCAAAGAGGCCACTTTGAGACCAGTCAACGCTACTCAAACCTATCAACTTTGGGCGTCTGTGTGTAGTGCTCTCTGTGGATGTGTGAACAACCCCCAGAATGGTAATGTAACATCATCCAGGCTGCGACTCTCCAAGACAATACAATGAAATACTGCATCAAGTTCACATCAACAGCAAAGCAATTCACTTTTGTTGCTGTCTTTCTTTTTTACCTTCCAGAGGAGGGTCAGCGTATTTGTGTGGCAGTCTTTCCCATCATAAAAACGTGGCTTCAGCAAATTGCTTTGTCGAGAATCGAGATCTTCCAGTCCATTTGTTCCTTCATAGCGATGACAGTTGCCAACAACTGTAAGTAAAAAAAAAAAAGTGGAGGAATGGCTTATGCTAAACCTGCTTTTTTCCATCCTACTTATTTGAAACCAAAATTTGAAGAGTTCAATTTTCCTCTCTTCTCTGTTTTGGCAGCCGGTGTTCAGGAGAGTTTTTCTGCTTCAGGGGGTCTGGACAGTCTCACTCTCGCACTGGTTCATCTGGCTTCTGCAGCAGATACGAGCTTGTTGTCTTGTCAGCTATCCGTCAATTTATCCAAGACCTTGTCAGCATGCATCACAGATAGCTGTAGGTGTCACTCTTAAACACAGGTTCACACACACACACACACACACACACACACACACACACACACACACACACACCACACAGTCCACTGAAAGGGATACTTCACCCATTTGCATTAATCTTTGTATCATTAGAAACCTGGTAGTATGTTTTGAATGGTAGTGCATCCCGCCCTCATTTTCCCCTGAGATTTGGAAATCTTGCGGTGCTGTGCATTCTGGGAGTTGCTGTCTTTCATCCACATGAGCCAAAAATACACTTTCTGCCTTTTCTCGGCACCAACTTCAAAATGTATTTCACATTTCTACTACATATATGACCCAATGTCAGTACAGATTCATGTTTCAACGGGTGAAGTATCCCATCTATGTCTCGTGTTCTGCAGCGTCTCTAGCCTCGGGCCTGGCTCAGTACGGCGTGGTTTCCCAACTCTTTCTCCTGCTCGCTAGCCCGCACCTGGACCCAGAGGAAAGGCTTTCTGTGTTACTCACTCTGGTCCATTGCACTGCATCCTCTGGTAAGACTGCACCGTACACTGTCTAGTTTGTGACTTGATTACTTATGCTCTCTATTTATATTTCCAACCTGTGTTTCCTGCCTGTCTGCCTGTCTGCAGAGGAGCACCAGTCCCAGTTGGTGCAGTGCGGAGGCCTGCCCCTTATCATAACCTTACTCACAGAGGATACAAGTGAGGAGGTGAGGAAGGCTGCTATGTTCATACTGCAGACCTGCAAACATTCCAGTAAGTCAAAGCGTTATTTATATAATAAAGTGACATTTTTATACCCCAAATGTACACAGTCACAACTGCAACACTGCATTATTAATGTTTCATTGTCAAAGGTTGTCTCTTTTGAAAGCAGGCAATGTAACCATCTCTCCTACTCTTGTATATTAGAGAGAAATGGCTACAGCATGATTACAGCATCAAGAGCAGTGATGGAAACTTTGGGTGCAGTGTTTTTTTTTCTTGGGGGGGGGGGGGGGGGGGCTCAGCATTATTCTTTCCTCAAACCCTTTCTATGTGTGAAATATTAACGTGAATTAAAAGTAAATACAAAAATTTTCTCTCGCTTTTCTTGGAGAGTGGAAATGAAGCAGAAAGAAAAACCAAGAGAATTTTCGATTGAATGAAATGTGGATCTCTCGTAATGACTTTTCTGTGAAGCCATGTCCCTGGAAGTTCCTGGATTGACAGCGAGACAGGGCGGAGGTGAAGATGTGGAACCCATCGCAAACATGGAAGGCTTCAGGAACTCAGCGAGAGAGCTGCTGCATAGGATCAACCTACTAGAGATGGAGCAGGAAAAGGTCAGAAACATTCATGCATATGTGTATGTGCAGTATAATCAGTTTGTAGCAGGGTGACTCATGACGCGGGCACATGTTTTATCTACTAAAGGCTGAGCTGGAGCAGGAAGACACAGAGCCATCAGCATTAATCAGAGGGCTGGACCAACAATCTGCCTTACCTCTGCCTCTGCAGCGGAAGGATAGCATAAAAGCTTTTAGACAGAACAGCACTCCTAAGCACTTAACAGCGAAAGATGGCGACAATACTGAACTTCACACTGCCAGAAATGTGATCAAGAGTGACAGCGAACAGAGGGACATGTGCTCTGATTCAAGCATGCTGGTTAGGACGACTAAAACCAGTGGGGATGATGTGTGGTGTCCAGTATGCAAGGGCTCTGGAGCCCTGGTGACTTCCCATCTGCAGCCACTAGAGGGAGACAGAGCTCCACAAACAGCAGACGGGTCAGCAGAGAATCCTCAGTGTTGTTTGTAAATCAGAAAAACTCAAATGAAATCATGACGCTCACGTTTACATTCTCTTCCATTTGTGTTTGTTCTGTTTAAGAAATCTGTTTAAGCTCCCAGCAGCGGTGAAGCACAGTGTGCCAAAAGAAACGATGAAAGATAAAAACCACAAAGAAGGTTAGAGTTAAATAAAGCCTTATAAAACTTTAATAAAAAAATGTCCTATGAAAAAGAACCCTAATGTAACATGTGTTTATGTTTAGAGCTGCAGGACCGTGAGATGAGTAATAAAGGGGAAATCCAAACGGAGGAACGTTCCCTCTCTCAGATCCGGTGTGCAGGTAGGAGAACGTTATACTGCCCCTCAGTGAAATGATTTACCACTTACATGATCCTAATATTTATGAGAACTCAAAAGGGTTAAGTTTGTGGGTCAGCCTTTATTTTAACAATATGGGATGTGGTTTTTTTCTGACCCTTATTGTAAGAGTTTTTGTAGATGAAAGCTGCCGGGATAGACAAGGTCCAAATTCTTTTTAGCCGTCAAAGTATTTTTCCAAAGGTGACTGAGCTGTATTTTATTTTTTAAATATATGTTAGATTCAGATTTTTTATTGTCCCACAAGGGGAAATTTGCGTTGCAACAGGAGCACACAGAAGACAAGAAACACAAGGACAACATCACCATTAAAACATAAACCAAAACAAATTTAAAAAAATTAAACAACACAGCAAAATATAAAACCAAACAAAAACAGTGCAATAAAATCAGTCAAGAGTCCACACCAGAATGGAAATTCAAGTTAACAAAAGTGCAAAGTGGAGGTGTGCAAATGTGCAATTCAAGTGCAAAAAGAGCAACAAATAGCTAATTGTTGTTTACAGTAACATATTAATTGCACTTGTGTGTTGGGATCATACTTTTTTATCTCTTCTGTGGTTATAGGAACACACAAGTATCACTGTCATACTACTAATGATTAAGCCGATCTCTAAGGTAGAAAGAAGCTCAAGATTCTTTCACTCCTTTACTTTGTCTCATTTAGGTTGCGTGTTGCCTTTCGGGGAGCTGACCAGTCGCACTTTTTCATCGCTCCAAAGTACCTGCCGACACAGCTGCGACATGCACAAGGTCCTCCAGGAGGCGTCGGAGAGGTACAGGACTGCTCACTGCCACCTTCTGTTCAGCAGAGAGTACCAAGACAACACAGCGGAGCAGGCCGAGCCGGACTTTGACAGTGTTTCATCAGCAGAGCCACCGAGAAACTGGAGCGGTAAGCCAGCCCCACTTATAGCACACAACATGGAAATGAATGTTACACTCAATCAGGGTTGGAAATGAATGTTTTTTGCATACCTTCCACTGTGACCGGTAGATTCATAAATCTACCAGTCACTTATAACAGAGATGCTAATCCATGAAGCGCTCAAATAAAGAGACACAGAGTGAAACAATTGAAGCACATAGCCTGTCACTGTATGTGTAGGTTCTCAGTCTCATAGTCTATCATTGTGCACACTGACATCAGGAGGGGCGGAGCCCTGTGGGCCTCATTTAGGACTGCCTGTCTCTGCTCATAAAGTCAGAGCGGAACAAGCAGGAGACGGTGATTCAATTGACGTTGTTTTATTGTCACATACCACTCTACTACTGTAATTTACCTGCCAGGTTGAGCAAATTGACCCGTCATTGCAAAAAAAACACCTGGTGACAAGTGCCAATTTCCAACCCTGTACTCAATAGAGCTTTTACTTAATTATTTACTTTTGTACATTTTTACCAACTTAAGTTTGGTAAAAGTGACTTGAAGTTGGCAAAATGTTCATTATCTTTTTAGTTTAGTGAAAATAAGTTCCTGAAATAGTTCGGCCCACAGACATCCTTTAGACTTAGTCCCTACTGGGATGACAGAGTTTTCACTTGACTTGTCATTACAAGACATCACTCCTGTGTATTTCTTATAGGCATCAGTTTGTTTCCCATTGTGGGATTCTATCAATGCTTTACTTTGATCTAAATCAGTGTTGTCATTTTACTAACAAAAAAACAAGATCATGACAGGACTTCCAGAGACATTTTATACAATCAGTTTCATTTTCTTTAAACAGTACCTCAGAACTGTTTCCTACCTTTCTGCCCTCCTTTGTCTGCTGCTGCACACTGTCTGATTTCCACTCTGCTTTTAAGAGGTTTTCCTGACTCCCAGGCGTAAAGCAGCAGGGAGAGGAAAGAGCTTCCTGCCAGACCACAACTGGAGGAAGCACAGTGGTAAGACTGAAGCATCAAGGTGAATTTTCAGATATTTATTTAACACAGATGTGTTCTAACTGCAAGACAGGAAATGAGCCCTTCTAAGTTAAACCTGTCAAAACAAATAATACATTAAAGACAAACTTTGTAAAAGTATCAAAATAAAGCACAAATAAACAAAAACTGTACACAACTAATTGGCTTCCTTACAATGCAAGACATGACTTCCTGCTTTAACTTAAAGGCTTTATATGATTTTTTGATCCAGTAGATGTCGCCCTTGAGCACCAGCATGAAACCAAAACAACTTGCGCTGCATTGTTGTGTTAGCATGCTAATGCTAGCGATCTTTATTATGCTCGTATCTTCACACTGCATGTAAATTTACCTGAAATGAGCGTGATCTAGAAACACAGTTAAGCAATGAGTACAGTATGTTATTCTTCTTTTCTCTAGTCCCTCAATAAAACAACTTTTATACACGAACTTGATTTATATTATATTTAAGTGTGAAAAATCACATATTAAGCCTTTAACTAAGCAACAAAGTCGGGGCAAAGCAGTAATCTGCCACAAAAAGTAGTTCCTGAGAGTTGAAAGGGGATTTGTTGTTCTCTGATATTATCAGATGGAGACCACTGAACCAGCACAAATGCAAAATATTGTAAAATGTTTTAATTTGTGTCTTCTTCCATCTATCTTAGGCGTCGCTCTGACACCGCTGTCGAGAGGAGCAGCAAAGGGGATCACGACCTCTCACAACAAGACCGGTGTGTGTGTGTGTGTGACACTGACTCAGACAAACACGCATCATTGATTGTTTTGTCGTTTATATTGTTCATATTCCACAGCATTGATTTCACCACTCCTCCCATCAGGTCCAGGCTTGACTCCCCTGAAGAGATCTCATCTTCCTAAAGGTAAAGATGTGAAACTAGACCTGTGTGTGTGTGTGTGTGTGTGTGTGTGTGTGTGTGTGTGTGTGTGTGTGTGTGTGTGTGTGTGTGTGTGAGAGTGTTGTGATTGCGAGCCTGCGGTTGGAGCCGTCCTCCGCTGTGTGTGTTGTTGGCAACTGACAATCCAAAGAGCAGGAGGAATGTTGAACTGCAGCCAGTGTTCTCACAGCACACAGGCCGGAGCTGGTTCAGAGCCGCACAGCTGTATGAAGCTGTTTCACACTCTGTAAAACACACTGTCTGTCTGTCTTTGTGTGTGTGTGTGTGTGTGTGTGTGTGTGTGTGTGTGTGTGTGTGTGAGTGAGAGAGCGAGAGAGACAGAGAACGGGTGTGTTGCGATGCCTTTGTGTTACACCAGTGACATGGCACTACCATGCCACTTACATAACATGTAAAGGAGAGACACTCGACGTCTTGTCCACATCATGATGTTGAATGTTCTGTTCTTGCATGACAATCACTTCACTGTGCAGCCAAATATGATTCATCTTTATTTGCTTGTTTATATTTTCCCATCTCCATTTTTCTTTCTCTTTGCTTTCCAGTTTTGCTGGTTCACCCGCTCTTAGTCAGACTTTCTGTAGCCTACATTTTCTTAGGGAAAGGAAATGGTTTTTTTTCTGGACTGTCATGCTGAGATTTACTATATCTGTATAACCTCTCTGCCAAATGTATTTTCCAACGCTCACTCCACATTTGGGAAAGTTTAAAGTTTCGTTCCATTGAGCGGTCCAGAGTTTAATCGCTCTTCTTGCTATTTTCTTCCTCTCTATTAAACTTTCTTTCAGTCTTAATGTTGCACTCTTTTGTCCATCCAGTCCCCTTTGCTTTCTCATCCTTCATCGTCTGTTCTTTCTCCTCCTGCATTGTTGTTTTTGTTCGGCAGCTGTATAAGTCACAACTGGTGATGCATTATCCTCCTAATGAGGAGAGAGTAGGACAAGAGAGAAAAGAGTAATTGTCTCTCCGTAAGTGAGGTCTGAGTGTTTGAGTGGGGGAATAAAAACACGGCGTCATCTCAGCTTTTTCTTTTACACAAACACAAACTTTTGTATGTCCTGAATACAGAGAGAAGAGACGGAAATAAGAGCGGACCTCCTGCTCTTGATGATGAGATGAAGACCTACACCGATGACAACGCCTCTGTAAGAGAAAAATGAATGTATTGATATTTATAAGACCTGTATTGTTCTAACGCCATGGTAATAAAACCCAACTAATAATAATAATAATAATCTTTATTTATAGAGCAAAAACAAGTTACAAAGTGCTTTGTGTTCTAACTGCAAGACAGGAAATGAGCCCTTCTAAGTTAAACCTGTCAAAACAAATAATACATTAAAGACAAACTTTGTAAAAGTATCAAAATAAAGCACAAATAAACAAACTGTACACAACTAATTGGCTTCCTTACGATGCAAGACATGACTTCCTGCTTTAACTTAAAGGCTTTATATGTGATTTTTTGATCCAGCAGATGTCGCCCTTGAGCACCAGCATGAAACCAAAACAACTTGCGCTGCATTGTTGTGTTAGCATGCTAATGCTAGCGATCTTTATTATGCTGGTATCTTCACACTGCATGTAAATTTACCTGAAATGAGCGTGATCTAGAAACACAGTTAAGCAGTGAGTACAGTATGTTATTCTTCTTTTCTCTAGTCCCTCAATTAAACAACTTTTATACACGAGGGGAGGAGTCAGCCGGCCGTCCTGGCGATGTAAACAAAGTGAAGATAGGACTCTGAAAACTCTGAAAGCATCACAGACAGTGGGACTCGGGTGTTACACCCATTGTAGACAGTCATGACTCACAGAGTTATTTTCAGAGGATAGACTTGATTTCTACATTTAAGTGTGAAAAATCACATATAAAGTATTTAAATTATGGGATAACCTTTCAACATCTTTTTAAAAGTCTTGTGCTGGCTGGTTTCCCTGATATCTGTAAAATGTGTGGTCCATAACACGGAAGTGTGTACTAATTCTAAATATACTAATAAAATGTAGGGATGACATTTGAGAATTGTTTCCCTTTTAGAGCCAGTTTCAGCCTGAGGATCATTTCCCTCTGACATTGCTTCATCACGTTAGTTCCAGTGAACTGTAAATAGCAAAAAGAGGAAGCTAAACTGTTATTGTCTCAGTGTATCCTTTACATTGTACAAGTGCATCCATTGGAAAAGGTCAAACTCTTGTCATAGCAATATATTAGGATTTTAGTTGATTTGTTAAATTAAGGTTTAAGCCTTTTAACTCAAAGTGCTATGGTCATTTAACTTCACACACACACACACACACACACACACACACACACACACACAGATCTACAGGAACATCAAATGTTTAGTATAAAAATTGATTCTCACCGCATACTGAAATAAGTTGAAACCAATCTCTGCCTGGAGGTTGTTAAATCAGTGTAAAACTGTACGATGTGCTTCCGAGAAAGTGCTATTAGTGGGCTTAAATTAGCTGTGAATAGATCACCAGTGTGGTCTATTAACACAAGTCACATTAACATCTTTAGAAGATATTTAAAATAGAAATGACTTATTATAAACTCGTGTTTTTTTCAAGTACATTTTGTTCCCATTTGATCTATTTTCAGATGACATTAGTTTATGAAGCAGGCTGTGTGACTAGATGAGGCCATGTGATCTGCAGAGTCCCTCTGCACCTTTAAGAAAAAGCTAAAGACCCAGCTCTTTCATGAATACCTACTAACTTAATGATGATGGTCTCCATATTATTGATGATGACGATGGTTTTTGTTTGATAACGATGACTTATAAGATGGTTTCTATACTGATTAGAGCTCTCAAGAACTGCCCTCAATGTTGTGCTTTGCCTCTGGTCACTTCCTGTCAGCACCTGTGTGTCCAATCAGACTCAAAGCTGATCGTTTGCTCTTACTGACATTGTTCCCTTTTTTCTAGATCCTTGCTTGTGTTGTTCTTACTCTCTGATGTACGTCGCTTTGGATAAAAGAGTCTGCTAAGTGAATTGTAGAATTTATTTTAATCAGTGAACCTTAAGTATGTCTAAACTACACAGTGGAGGTACAGGTAAATCAACGAAGGCTGTCTGAGGTGTGTCTTCTGCACATCATTTATCCACCACCCTGTTGTGCCATCTGACACACTAATATTTCTTTAACCTTTTGTTGTTGCCTTTGTCAACATTTCTAGAAAAGTGCGAAGAAAGACTTTAGCCGCGAGGAGGTGCACTACCTGTTGTGTGGAGTGCAGAAATTGGGATTCTCTTGGAACTCCATCCTGTGGTCGTACCCCTTCCAGCATGGACGCACAAATGTTGACCTGGCTAAGAAATACAAGCGTCTTAAGGTAACAAGAGAAGCTCTCCTCTTAACTGTGAGATTTGATCTGTTTTCACAATAACTGTCTTTAAGTGCATAAAGATTGACCGCCTGATATTATTTATTTTTTGGAAAATAGAAAGCTGGAGCAGCAGAGGTCTGATGTGCATCCCCCCTGGCTCTGAGGCAGCTCCTTTACAATGACTCTAATGGCTCTTCAAAATAGTTTTGATTCATATGAAGCATCTTTATGCTATTCAGTTATCGCTCATTTTATCGTAAAAGAACCTGAACTTAATAATAAAAGAATAAATTGCGGTTGTATTCTTAGTATTTTATCTTAAAAAATGTTAGAGCTGATTGTCTCTTCTCTTCTTATTTAATTGTTATTTAATTTAATTTAACTTGTTATTTAAAATAATTAAAAAAAGTTCTCAAATTTGTGTCAGTGTCTTCTTGTCAAATAATCTTTCTTATTTGATTTAACAGACTTTCATAAATGTTTCACTCTGAAATGAAGCTTCAGTCACTATTTCATATATGTTCAGAGTAAGAGTCATCACGTGAGACTCAATCAGAAAAACAACTGAGATTGTTTTCCCCATGGATGAATCGTGCCAAACCTTAGTTTGAGGTGCCATTTGAAGTTTGTTTTGTTGTTGCACTACTTCATGATGAATCACCACCTCTGTGTAAGTCACATGTACAGTTTAGTCTGCCAGACTTTGATTGCAAAAGCACCACGTGTTCATGAGTTGTGGCAATAACATGTCCCAGCCCTAAACATCTTAGGCAACCTTTCATGACCAAATCAGCATTAGAAATTCAGGTCAGAAAATAAATATGAGATCTGTATTTTCATGTAAAAGTCAAATTAAAAGAACATGTCATGCAGAACTATGGACATTACATTGATCTGACTTAAGTAATCTTTAAATGTCAATTTTAGTTTGCCCATAACATAACGTGTCATAGTTTGACACCATAAATTAAAAACGTTCCCGGATCAGAGTGCACTAGGTAAACTATATTCATTCTCAACAAACAAAGAGAAAGCAAGAAGTCAAACTAATTAAACACAATATCTTGTCTTATTTTCCAAGTTTTTGCAAGTTTAAACACATCAAAACTTAAACAGCCATTCCAGTTTCTGCACATCTGTCCGCCCCAATATGTCTGATTTCACTTCATGAAACAATAATTCTCTTAAATCATCATATTAGTAGAAAATACTGTTATCAGCAGTGTGAAACTGAAAGAAAAGAATTTCAAAACAGTATGAACTGAATGTGGTGTATTCTTGAGACTCCATCAACAAGGAGGGGGGACTATTTGTTTATGAGACAGTAATCACAAATAGTGTAAATCATGTCGCTTATCTTCTTTCTCAGCGTGCACCTAGAAGACGCTCATCTGCAAACTTGAAATCTCAAACAGTGCTAGCCTGACTGAGATCACTGTCTGCAGAATGCCTCTCCCACTCCACCGGGACTCATCAGTGTGTTGCCAAATCTATGGGACTTAACCGCCCGCCATGCCCCGAGGCTTAAAGGCTTTTATAGCAAGGTGTGGCTGGACAGACAAACATATTTATTGGGAGTAGGGCTTCATTTTAATCATGGATTATGACACTTAAGTGGTGCACATCAATTATTTTTCTGATGATTTAACTTCTGTGTTAAAAGTTTAAATTGGGCAGCAGCATGTTGTGTAGAAAAGTTCCCTCTTCTAGTTAAGCTGTGAAATCAGTAAAAAGTTTCTCCTAGGTTTAATTTGTGCACAGGCAGAATTTGCCTCTCATACCAATCCACTGATTTTGTCAAGATGTCGGAATAGCAATGCAGTGAGGGCAGGGGGGAGTGTGGTGGGAGAGGCATGTGAGGAGCAGATTTCTCATGCACTGAAACGCAGTCACACTAAAGACTTTTGACCCAGGCCCCCCGAAAACCTCCTTCCTCTGGAAAGAATGTGGCTCCATCTCCCCCCCTCCCCTTTCTCCTCCTCTCTCCCACAAGACTATGAGAAGGCACTGTCTTTCCTGACATGCTCTGTGCTGTGTTGGCTGGAATTTGATTTCCATATGTACACTATGTTCCACACATGTATCCTGGTGTGTTGTTTCACATGTCTCAGTGGAGAAAACTACAATTGCTCCATTTTTTTTTAACTTCCAACTGATGCATGCTCTGCATTTATTCTTGGCCAGCTAAGTTATAACTCACATCAAAATGAAGGAATGAGCATTTATCTCATTCAGCCAAGTGAATGTGAAACATCTCACCACTTCCCCTTTATTTTCATTCTCACATCTTGTTGGAAAAAAAAAAAAAAAAAAAATAAGACCACAAGGCATATGGAATAATATTTTTATTTTCACAAGCAAACCACTACTTGGGTTAAAAAAAGTTACCATCTCATTGTATTAAAATAACAATTGAATGGTGATCACACCGGTTAGAGGAATATTGCAAGGTCCCAATATGAGTATGTTAAAGGAATAAATGTATATTGGACACTTGTAATCTTGCTAAATAGCATTCTGCACAAAACCGTCTCCATATTTGCATTGCTACTGTCCCTTGCCTGTCATTTTTTGCATTAACTTACAAGTGCTGTGCATTCCCATAAACACCTTGGAAAAGATTTTAAAATTCAATTTTAATCACTATCCTTATACAGTTTTTTTTTTTTTTGTTGTTGTTTTTTTTACATAGCAATGAAAAAAAAAGATATATTTAAAATCTTGTTTAGTGAATTTTGCATAGAGAAGGATCTCTGATGTCCAACAATACACTGAAGTTCACAAATATCCCCTGTGATTTTTTGAGTCCCTTAACCCTTCACCTACACACCCGGTGGCTTTATAACTGTATCAAAAACATACAGGACATGTCAAATATGTACTTTTTGTGTGTGACAAAACAAGTCTGATCTTGAGTTCATTTGGCACATTAGGTTTCATTTTGACAAGAGATAGCTGTTTGCCTTCATTAGGCCCCTTAGAATGTAAGACAATCAAAAAGCATCTGTGATTCTTTCAGACTTCATTGGACAGGGTTAAGAGGATTTCACAGAAGAAGAAAAAACAACTTTTCACATTTTCCTCTTGTTTTGTGGATTCACATCAGCTCAGCAGGAGTGCTCATGTTTGTGATGAGAGTGTCGTCGGGGACATCGGTGGGAATGAGATCAGCGAGAAGGTCACTTCCTTTCAGCTCCAAGTTCTTTAGTAGTCCGTTAACGTTTTCCATGTTGACATCATTCACCAGCTTCTCCAAATCTTCTGTCGCCTCCACCTCGATAAGCTTCTCCAGAAACGCCGGTGTCTCCTCCTCCAATGTCGAAACAACGGGAACCTCGGATCCTTCTTGGGCTTCAGCAGCAACAACAGCAGGGATGTCTACGGGCTCGACTGCACTGACGGGTTCAGGGATGTCAACAGGTTCAGGAGCCGCATCCGGGACGCCCAGATCGATCAGAGGCGATGAGAGAAGCATCGGCTCAGGGAGGGGCTCTTGAGTAAGCAGTTCTGTCAGCTGCTCCGGAGACTCCACGGGGGCTGGGACGGGCTCGGGGACCGCCTCGACTTCTGGTTCTAGAGTTGAAGTCAACTCTGTCTCGGAGATGGGTTCTGGTTCAGGAACAGGTTCTGGAGCTACTTGGGCTTCGGGGACTGGTTCTGGAGCTGCAACAGGTTCGGGTGCTGCAACAGGTTCTGGTGCTGCAACAGGTTCTGGTGCTGCAACAGGTTCTGGTGCACTGACTGAGACAGTAGGCTCAGGTTCGATCGGCGCTGGGGTTTCCTTTGCCACAGGCTCTGGTTCTGGTTCAGGGGCAGCAGGAGGAGCGACCGCCCCTTTACACACTGCCACACACTCTTCAGATGGTAAACACACCACTGGTGTCACAGGCTCGGCCAAAACCACTTCTAGATTCTGTACTTCAACGGTCTCTTGAGTCTGCGTTACAGCAGAGTCTTCTGCTGCCGGTGCGGGTGCTGGCTCCTCTGCGGTCGTCTGTTCAGCGGCAGCGGTTTCATCACCGCCGGTCGGGGCATCTCGCTTTCTGGAAAATCTGTTTCCCATGATTAACCTGTGCAGAAAAGATTGGAATGAAAACATTACTTAAACTGATGAAATGTCAAACCATATTTAGCTTTAGAAAATGTTGTCAACAATTGAACTCAATCTTAAATCAAGATTTATGTTCTTTTCAGTCATAGTAGTTGAAGTTGGATTTTTTTTGCTTTTCTGCTAAATTCAAATAAATCCTCCAAAATGAATAAAACTGTTAAAAGTAAAACATTTTTTTTAAAGTAAATTAAAAAAAAAAAAAAGAACCATCTAAAACGTGCCAGCAATCCCTGAACTGGTGGAGCTTATGCTTTCCCATTTGAGAGTTATGGTACATGATGTTCTTTAGCACACAACCTGGGCTGAATGTACAGCATGTGCCACGCAGTGTCAACGCGTGGATTGTATAGTTTAGTGGTTCTTTCAAACGTGCCCAATATATATAAATATATACAAGGCATTTGTTTGTTAGATTCTGTCTTTCTTGCAAGCTTTGCAATAAATGCCTCCCGATCACGTGTCAACGCCATTAGAAATAAAAATCTGGGAGACTTCAATCCGCGCTGAAAATGTTACCCACTAATTGTAACGCCACACCCCCCTTGAATTGCAAATTATAGTGTGTGAATTTTCCATCTGTTTGCATTTTTTATTCATTTTTCCAAGACGGGTAAGACATCTTTCCTGCTGTGTTTCATATGTAGAAACCAGGTGGAAACACTTGCAGGTCAAAGCGTGTTGATAATTAACATATCGGCGTGAGAAAAACCCTGATGGTCTGCATTTCCAACGTGACAAATATATTGGCAAACACTACTAATTGAAAGAAAACGAACAAAGAAACTCGTGCAGTACGACCCCGCCTCCCTCTCGTGTTGAACAAATGTAAAAACTATCTCACACAAAAAAAAAATACAGAAGTAAAACAGCTCCGCTTTTAAACGTGCACTTATATTAAAACAAAGATACCAACCTTTTTGGAGCTCTTTCCCGTTGTAGTAAAAAGTAGTCAAGAGTCGCAGATTGGATCTCGCACTCTCAGCCTGGAGAAGTCAAACTGCCTGGTGTGGACGCGCACCACTTAAAGCAAAGCCCTGAAGACGCTGATGTGCGCTGCGTGCCGTGCGCGTCCCCGCTCCATACGCGCGTCCCCTGCGTCACCGACCAACCCCTTCACCGCTGACACCTCCTGAAGCCTCATGATTGTCCTTTCAAACTCTCAAAACATCTCACTAAAATGAGACTTCATTCAGTTTTAATCAAGATTTTATATTTTTCATGAGCTTTCTTTATTTTCACCATTTATTTATTTTATTTTACCATGCACTGGTAGCTTCAATAAACACATCAGTACACTGGGCATAAGATAAGATAAGATAAGATATAATCCTTTATTTATCCCACAACGGGGAAATTGACATTGTTACAGCAGCAAAGAGCAAAGATTGCAAACAAAAAGTGAACACAGTACAATTTGAATAAAAAGAAGAAAAATTAAGAATGTACAAAAAGATAGATACTAAAAAATAGATTAAGAAAAAGAAAAAAAATAGATAGCCATTTGACAAAAATGTAGTCCGTAAACAAAAATGTAGGCCGTAAGTGTAGTAAATGTAGTCCCATCTCCAAACTCCCACCCCTCCCCAATAAATAAAACAACTATCAGCAACAAATACACATAAATTCATTACTGTAAGTAAGGAATGATTTTTGATAAAGCTGTCTAATGTTTATTAACAATTAACAATGATCTACAAAGCACTTTAAAAATCAAGGCACTGGTCTCTTATGGCCATTTTAGATCTTTAATTATGAACCTTTACTTCTGATTGCACATGTTTTAATTGATTTTGTTTTTAATACTTTTTTATTATCTGTTTGTTGGTTTTTAAATGGTTTTGTTTATCTATGATGTTTATATATGTGTGTGTATGTGTACATATATATGTTTATGTATGTTTGTTATTTTTCATTGTTTATCCTGCTCGACGTCATTGTAAATGAGGGCTACGCTCGCAATGATTTTCAAGTGTAAATAAACACAGAAATAAAATTATATATGATCAGCATTCCTTTCGGTTTCAAAATTATGCTAAAACTTATCTTTTTTTTTTTTATAAATGGATTGTGTGTGTGTGTGCGTGTGTGTGTGTGTGTGTGCGTGTTTAAGTGTGCTCAGGACAGGGGAAGTAGAGCACCTGATCATGTCGATCAGCTGATCCCATGTTGGTTGAACATTAAAATCCCTGACACATTCATGTCTTATGCTGACAAGTTGACCACACAGTCCCTGGTTGACACCTGTCCCTCTCGAGGCTCGATTCTTCAAGATCAATCTGATTATTATAAAGTAAGTTCATTCAGAAATGGTGATTGTATCAGGAATGTAGTCGGTTAAGCAACTTATCATGTTTCAAAAAAAAAAGTTGTGTATATTTCTTCTAACATGAACGTTACATCAACAGGTCGGGTCCTATATGGCCTAAGGCTGCTTCAGTCATGGCTGTTTTCTCTACAAGGAGAACCACTTTCTCATTTTGGATTTCAGTGTTTCTCCTCCTGCTCGTCTTCCTCCAGATGTTAACCGCCCTGGTGAAATTTGCTGGTGTGTTCATACTTTCCAACGAAGCCTTCGTCAGCCCCTTTCGGTTTTGTCTAACAGACCAACACGGTGAATCATCCTGCAGGAGCCATGTTAATGGAGCTGAATCTGGGGTAAAAATTAACATCCTCACAACAGTGGTGATCCTCTGTTTGTACGTGCCGGTGGTTCTTGTGGCCTTTGCCCTGTTGGCCACGATGCTAGCAGCTTACGCCAGAGACAGAACAGCACTCTGGTTAAGCGCGGGCTGCCAGGGTGCGTCGAGCCTGCTCATCCTGATGGGAATTGTCATTTTTTTGCTACTTAATCATTCGCATGTGAGTTGGGATCACATGACCCTCAGCTTCTATCTCTGCGTGGCTGCGCAGGTGGAGCTGGGGGTCACCGCTGTGCTGACCTATGTGTTATAGAGGAGACTGTCTGAATGGGACGAGGTCATCTAAATGAAAATGTAAAGTTGTGAATAACTTGTGGAAGAGGGAAAATGTAATCAAAAATGTCAATAGAATTATAACCAAACAGTATTTTTTGATAAATCCAGATTATGTTCTTCATAAGGTTGTCTCTAAAAAGTGTTTCTATCTGTATTTTTGTTTGCATATGCTGATGAAAACAAAGTGTTAAAGCAGATTTGATGAGGAACTGATTTTCAGTTTGCCTTTCTTTTTGTTAAATCAACTGGAACATGTTGTACTTGCCCTTGCCTGCTGCTAAAGAGCTCTTCCATTCTAGACAAACTGGTTTTGTAAACGTGAAGGCCAACTATGTAAATAAATCTCACTTTTAAAAAAAACACAAAAAAAACTGAAAATTAGCCCTGCTTGCTCTGGTATGCAGAGGCGTTTCAGAGAATTAAATTGTGTAAAAAGGGAATTAGCTTGATAGATGTTGGTGCGGTCTTGACACTGCTTGAAGAAGAAAAAAAAAAGCATTGCGCAGTGGGTTTACAGAAACGTCATCAGAGAGTTATTCAGAGAAGTGGAACAACCTGAAACATCTAGAAGAAAAAAACTGTGTTAACAAATCAAATAAATAGGCTAGTAGTTAGTACAGTATGATTGTAAAGCTTTAATCTTTGGAGTCAACAAGAGAACACCTGGAGCTGCTTTACTTGCACAAAGTCATGTTAGAAAGTTGTTCCTTTACAGAACACTATTTAGTTAATGAGTGGAAAAAGACTGTGAAGTGTTCAGTGACATGCCCACTTGAATTAAGGGTTTCCTGGAAGCTGCATATCTCCGACCACTGAAACTAACCACAGAAGCAGTTAATTCTGCATTCAATATAAAAAAGGATCAGCTGTACTCCTTATCTAATCATCAAACGTTTTTTTGATATCCAGTTTATTCATGTTAGTTCAGTTCATAGATTTCTGCAGCTTTTAAAGCCATGTCTAAGATGCTAATGATATCTCTACATACCAGTGAAATCAATTCCTCGATCAGCTCTCTGTTAAGTAGCTTTATGAACAACTTGTGTGCAATCACAAGAACTACTGATGTTTTCAGAAGAATTTGTAACTTGGGTGAACGTATCCTTTTAGAGAACATGTTAATTTTTAATTGAGTGCACATAATTTGGATGATATTCAACTTAATTCATCTTTAAAGTCTTTATATGTGATTTTTCACACTTAAATGTAGAAATCAAGTATATCCTCTGAAAATCACTCTGTGAGTCATGACTGTCTACAATGGGTGTAACACCCGAGTCCCACTGTCTGTGATGTTTTCAGAGTTTTCAGAGTCCTATCTTCACTTTGTTTACATCGCCAGGACGGCCGGCTGACTCCTCCCCTCGTGTATAAAAGTTGTTTAATTGAGGGACTAGAGAAAAGAAGAATAACATACTGTACTCACTGCTTAACTGTGTTTCTAGATCACGCTCATTTCAGGTAAATTTACATGCAGTGTGAAGATACCAGCATAATAAAGATCGCTAGCATTAGCATGCTAACACAACAATGCACCGCGAGTTGTTTTGGTTTCATGCTGGTGCTCAAGAGCGACATCTGCTGGATCAAAAAAATCGCATATAAAGCCTTTAAGTGAAAAATATTTCTCGCACAAGCCTTAAAGCATCGTCGTCCACGGCTGCATCTCCTGGCACCTGCGTGTGCTCCGCTTTTTTAATCTCGGTCTGCAGTGGTCCCTGTATTTTACCTTCTTCAGGTCTTTCCTGCTGAGGGCTCCCAGTGTAAGGCACAGTGTCCATCTCTCTAATGTCCGTGTCTGTTTCTGAAACATACGTCCTCTCATGGGCATCGCTGCAGTCTGAGGACTCCTCTTGTATAGCCTCGGGCCGCTTCTTTGAGGTGGCAGGGTTCTTCATAATCCTCCGAGTGGCTTTCATTGCCTTATCTTCAACCTGTGTGTGTGTTTGGAGAGGGTCAATCACACACATTTTACACAATGCATAAAAAAATATCACATGTAGCACAAAGAATGGCTTGTAAAAAAAAAAAAGTTTTAAACGTTTGTAGGACTGTATTTAAGTTATTTGAGGGGCTTGAACTGGGGCTACGTGCAGGCTAAATATAAGAGGCAACAATGTTGGGATTTTATCTAAAAAGCCTGGTCAAGGATTGGAAAACAATGATGATCATTAAAGATATTATCAGAATCAGAATCGGGGTTTATTGCCAAGTACATTTACACTTTGGTGTATTGGTGCTAAACAATTAACAGGGAAATAAAGCAGAACTAGCAACAACTTAAATAAAACAGTATAAGAAGATATTACAATATAGCAAATAGAATTTAAAAATGTAAAATAAAAAATAAAAAACACAAAATGTACAAAAGGTGTAATATGTAGGAGCTGCATTATGCATTAACGTAAAGCAGCATGTTTCCATTGAAAGGTTATTTAAATGTTACTTGAATCCCTGGCTCTTTTGAAAGTGTTTTTCTCAGCATGGAAAAGTGTATTTCAACCGGTTTAAAACAAATAAAGTGAGAAACAGCGCCACCTTCTGGTCACTCAGGAGAGCAGCCTCCACGTCCCCGGATGCAGCGTTGTTGGTGAGAAATGAGGCAGCAGCTTCGACCAGCTCCTTCTCGTTCATACAGTAGAAGACAGCCCTGAAAATACATCGATGTGCATATACATCAGTTTTTACTTTGCATGAAGTGGGAAACGGAGACTTTGAAAAGTATTTTAGGTCAAATACCTCGCAGTTTTCTCTTTCCTCCTTCTCTTCAGCGGCTCCTTCTTCGCCTCCTTCGCCTCCTTCTTCGACATCCAAGGCGGCAGTGCGCGGTTTCTTCCCGACATATCAGCCTCTGTTTCACCAAACAATCACATTATTTGTACATCTGTTGTTACACAGGTACTATCTTACATTTAGTAAGTGGGAAACGGACACAAAGGGAACAGTGAAGAAGCCATGTGACTACACTTATGGACCGAGTGTTTGGCGCCACCGAGCGGAAAGTCCCGGCAACTACAAGAACATACAAATATTTAACAAGGGGGAAAAAAGAGAAGAGAAAAAGGGGGTGGGGGCATTCAAAGGAGCACTTCCTGTGTCTTTACACAATAATAATAATACTTTATTTATATAGCACTTTTCTATACAAGTAACAAAGTGATTTGCAACAGGCAGAGCGTAAACAAGCAGGCAACGAAATCAGACTAATAAAATAAAAATAAGAACAATTACAAAAATCCCAGAGTAAAAGCCTTTTTATAAAAGAATGTCTTGAGTAGGGATGTAAAACAAGGGACTGAATCTGCAAGTCTGATCTCCTCTGGCAGGCTGTTCCAGAGTCTGGGGGCTCTGACAGCAAAGGCCCTGTCCCCCTTTAGTTTTTAGCATGAGTGTATTAATGCACAATGCATTGAATTTATTTATTTGTTACATTTATGATAGATCATAATTAATATTTAAGTCACTGATGATTTATGACAAATCTTGAATAATGTTTTTTTTGATTCCTTTATTTAGGTTAATTGTTGTTAAGTGTAATTTGTGCTGCTGCCTGTCTTGGTCAGGACGCTCTTAAGATTCTTAATCTCAAAATGAGACTTTTCCTGGTTAAAAAGTATGGTACAATGTAATTTTTACAATTTAGTATAATTTATTTAATTTCCAAATCCCTCTTAGCATCATTGGTTTTTTATCATCTATAACTTCCACCTCCTATAAATGCTCTATAGCACACTTACATAAACTCACATACACACATATGTTACAGTTTATTGCATCGGATTTAAACCGGGGTTGCAGTAGTGTACTGTGTAATTAAAACTCGGTTGCAAAGTCTTATCATCCAAATCAACATCTCTCACCGGGGTCTGTCTGCTGTGTCCGCTTAACCAAATTCACTTTGTCTTGCAGTACTTTGCAGAAATCAAAATAAAAATAATCTTGCTTCTCTTGTAAATATTTTATATATATATTTATATTTTATAAAAATATCTTTTAAATATAAATATTTGAAATGTTGGGTCCCAACCACAAAGAAACATTTTCTTTAAATTTTCTTTAATCATTTAAATTCATTCCTTTGAATGTGTGGACATGATTTCACACCACCAGCTTCCTGCCCTTGTGTGTCTAGGCCAGCCGCAAATAATCCATGTTAGTCTAGTCGGATGACATATTCTCTCTCCCACATTCCCCCCTTCTACTCTCTCTGTCCTTTTATCACCCTCATTGAATCTAGGATGTAAAAAAAAAACAACCTTTAGACTCTCACTTTCTGTCACTTTGTACCCAAAGCTGCCTTCTCTCTCTCTCTCTCTCTCTCTCTCTCCCTCTCTCTCTCTCTCTCTCTCTCTGTCTCTCTCTCTCTCTCTCTCTCTCTCTCTCTCTCTCTCTCTCTCTCTCTCTCTCCCTCTCTCTCTCTCTCTCTGTCTGCCTTGTAATTATGTCTGTAATGCCCCATCCTGCTAGTGCTTATGCCTTGATTGGAAAGACCAGCTTTGTATATTTGACTAAATTAAAAAGTGTGGGCGGGGTGTGTGTGTGTGTGTGGGGGGGGGGGGGGGGGGATATCAAGGGTGACAGCATGTTAACAGCCAGATGCGTGCACATTGTCACTTTCTCTGAAGCTCTGATGTTTAGCGCTTTTTAGGAACAGTGAACTGAACTCGTATCAAATAGAAATCCTACACATTGTCATTATTTTCTTGGGGTGTAAACAGAGAACGATTTTAAGGATTGCTGTGAAACAGGACCATATTTGTCACTTATAATTAATTTGTCATTATTAACAAAAAAAAACATTTTTAATGCTCAGCTTAAATGTATTATTTATTAGACTGGTCAATTCACTGGTTTCCAACGTAAAAACAAATCCCATCATTGTCCCCCTGACAAGTCTCTTGCAAAGCTGCTTGTCCATCTCTTAAATGACAACATTTGACATGAACAATAAACATCTAAACATTGTCTACAAGTCAGCATCACTTACTCATCATTTCATTGTAAAAATGATTCAAGCTTATAAAAATAATCTTTGAAGAACCTTAAGTGGCATTGACCTTATATCCTCCTTCCAGGCTTGTTGCCACATCCACAGATCAGGCCGTCATAAGAAGATTTCTGTTTGTACTCTAAAGGAGTAAAGCTTGTTGCTGCTTTACTGCCACATTTGTGGGTTGAGCGTGCTCGAAATGGCTGCAGAACTTACTGACATAAGCGCATCAGCACTGTGGTTTTCTTCAAGTCTGTTTTAACTGTTTAAAGCTGATTTCCATATTTTCTTGAACTTTAACAATTCATACAGTAAAAAGCCATGTTTTTAATAGGGCAAAACACACTGATCCATAATCAAACCCCACACGTGTT